TTCAACCCACCATAACCCAGACTGCTGTATATCTGTGAATGAGTGCTGCCCTTGGCACCTAGAGCCATCATGCTCAAAGCCATTGAGATCCCGACCGGGGAGAAGAAAATGTTCTTGCCTTGGGCATCAGGATGGAATGCAAGTTTCTTGTAGAGAGAGAAGGCGAAGTCAGCGTTGTGGGGAGAAAGCAGGTGGCAGGCATCGCTGGACCCCTCGTGGCTGGGGTGGGGTTCATCCTTCCCATGATGGAGATGGTGGTGGTGATCGGGTGTGTGGCCCCCATGGTCGTGATCTTCGTGGGGTGCGGCCCAGGCCGTTACTACCAGCAGGGCAGCAATCGCACAGCAATAAATCTTTCCCCACATTTTATCCACCTGTTTTATGAGCAGAAGGCACAGCATTGTACAAACTTTGGGATTTTTACATTTCATCAGTGGTGGAGGAAGTACTGAATCTCAGTACTTAAGTAAAAGTACAAATATCCAGGTAAATATTTACTTTAGTAAAAGTAGAAGTAACACAATGACAACCATACTTAAGTAAAAAGTACCTGATTTTAAATGTACTTTAAGTATTAAAAGTAAAAGTATTTGCATAACAATTTATTCTCTTAATGTCTATTGTCTAATGTTTTTAAAAATATTTAATTCTAACTCATTCAACTTAATACTCCTATAATGATGTTCAATAATGGTGGAAAAAAAATGTTGTCACCATTTCTGAAACAAGCTTGCAATTAGGCAATATAGCTACAAAGCATGCTTATCCTTATTATATGTTAATAACTATGTTTGGCAGTAAACGCGATTAATTTATGGTGTTATTCTGAACCTCTTGGCTTGCCATAATCCTAACCAAACGTATATTACACAAAGTGCGTTTCCTATGCACGCAAAAACAAATTTTCGCGTATAAATTGCACGATAAACACACTGCATGCGAGACGCATTTAGTGTGACCGGGTTGATATATCTATGGCAACCAAACGTCACTGGTGAGACAAACGTGCAACGAACGGACGGTCAAATTAAGTTTTGGCAGGGGAAAAACTGATCAGAAAATGTAACAGAAGTTGCAGAAATGTAGTGGAGTAGAAAGTATAATAATTGCTGCAAAATGTAACGAAGTAAAAGTAAAAAGTATGCACTATTTATTTTACTTACGTGAAAGATACGTGAAAAATGTACTTAAGTAAAGTAACAAACTATTTGTACTTCGTTACATTCCACCACTGCATTTCATTTTATTTACGAAAATTCCAAAGAGTAGCTATTTAAAGTTCTGGTAAAATGGTAGCACTTTAAGCATAACAGTTGTAACTTACCATCAAAGTCCTCTTCACAGGAGACTGTTCAGATGGAGTGGACTCATTTTATAGTCCTTCAAGCATCAGCCGGGTCACATTTTCAAACATTAACCTGTTTCCACCCCCGTTCTGTGAACGCAATCACTCATGATTAGTTGTTGCTCTGTATTTAGTGATGCAACACAGTTTTAGACTTCTGTGTCAGGGGTTTTCAGTACCTACTTAAAATGTGTTGATTTAAAAATCAAGATTGCAAATTAAGATTGATATGACTGCCTTCCTCGCAAACTGTTAATCAAAAAGTATTCACGTCTGTGATGGTCAATTGAAGCACAGCTCTAAAATTAGCTATCCATAATGAGTAGTTTCTCTTATTTAAGTTTTAAACAAATTTAAAAACCCAAATACATAATTTACTGTTAACGCTCCAATTAAACATTTAATGTATTTGCATGTTTTGTTCATTTTGCGGAAAAAAAAGGTTCCTATAATATGACGCAGTAATGTTTTATTCATGCATTGTTATTATTATTGTACACTCTTTTTATTGGACTTTCATCCACAATCAGTTCACTACATACAGAGCTTGCGGAGAGTGACACAATCAATCAACAGTGGGACAGTAGGACGGTGCTTAAAATGAATACACTCACAAGAGTCAACACCAGATCGTTCCCCTTTGAGGGCTGTGTACAATTGGCTGATTCACAACACCGTGCATCTCGAGGTTTCTGAAGTATATGTTTTTTTTCCAAAGCAAACTTTGGAAGTCGGATCTCTGCAAACCTGTCAAAGGGGGAAAGAAAATCAATGTCTTAGACAGTGTGGAATGTCACTTTCTCTCCATTTTATTGGCATGTTTACAACCGTTGAATTCAGAATGAAGCTTCTTGAGCTTGTTGTTTACAGAGCTGCAATTGGCCACAAACAGAATGGCTGGCTTAAGACAGCTTCTTCTGAACTGGATCAGATTGAATAATTCAGTGTGGTCCAAAAGCCTGAGACTGGTGTGACAAAGGTTTTATTTTTATTTATTTATTTATTTATTTTTTGTCATTATAAATTTCATTATCATCCTTACACATTGAACGGGAGTCAAAAACAAGAATTTCTGCATTTCTTATTATTTGGCAGTGTTCTTATGTTCTTGTTCTCATAACTTTTCTTATGTGAAAAAACACTCGAACACCGCAAACCATTTAATCGGCATTTGTCAATTAAACTTTGATCATTATAAAACAAGACAAAAATAATAATGAGCTTCTAAACACTCAGGCTACAAACTCCCAAACTAACTCTTTGATTTGAGAATGATCAAAAGATCACATTGTGTTTCAATGGAAGCAAAGATTTGTGAGCAATTGACCCAATTGATGTGTTTCCAATTTCCCTGTTTAATCATTGACCTGAAAATAGAGATCATTCAATTTATATAATAACATTTATTTAATCTTTGATCTTCGCAACAGAAGTGAATCAATCAAAGCTAACTTTAACTGGACAATAGCTTTATCCTAATGCTGTTGTAAAGCCTAAACAATCTGTTACGTTTACTTCCATTATAACTGTAAAGCTGTTTTGAAACAATCCATACTTTTAAAGGGATAGTCCACTTTTAAATTAATTTTTGAAATATTTTAGCTTACCTCAAGGGCATCCAAAATGTAGGTGTCTCCGTTTCCACAGTATTCAAAATTTTGATATTTTTAGGTCAAACCGTTCTTGTCTGTCAGTCATATAATGGAGGTTTATGGGGTCCACCCTGAGTCCACCTCAAAGAGCATGCACAGAGAAGTCCAAATTAAGCATGATTTAATGACTCGTTGATGGCCTAAAACACGAAACAAGTGGTTTGTGTGAGAAAACGAACAGTATTTATATTTACATTTATATGCGCCGGAAGTGATATCTTGCGTGGATACATCGAAATCATCTTCCATTGCAATTTCCTGTATATCTAAATATGTTTAGATATTCACAGTGAAGGATAACACTTCTGAAATCTCTGTGTAAACAATGAGTGACGTACACGCCAGAGATCACTTTCGGTGCTTGGACGTGAAATACTTTTCGTTTTCTCACACAAACCGCTCGTTTCATGTCTTGGGCCATCAATGTGTACTTACGTTTACGAGTCATTAAATCATGTTCAATTTGGACTTCTCTGTGCATGCTCTTTGAGGAGGCCCCATAAACATCCATTATATGACTGACAGACACGAACGGTTTGACCTAAAAATATCAAAATTGAAAATACTGTGGAAACAAAGACAACTGCATCTTGGAGGTAAGCTAAAACATACCAAAAATTAATTTTAAAGTGAACTATCCCTTTAAAAGCGCTTTATGACCAGAAGGTGATTTGACTTGAATATAATGTAAATTTTGTCTTTCAATGTTATACCGGCAGTTGGCAAAGGAGCTTTTGTTGATTTGCTGCTACGAAATGGACTGAAGTGTTGTTGTCGTTTCTTTAATTTGCACATTATCACAAATAAATATGGGGAATGTAATGTTTATTGATGTAATACTTTATACATTCATTGTGTGGTGGTCTAAATACTTTGAATGCACTCTTTAACATTTTAATCTAGAGTCTCTTGTTGTAAATTCTGACTATCATAATACTGAGTAAGAGCTGTAAGTGTCGTCTTTAGGTTATGGATGACCAGGAATATGTGACCTCCATAGAGGCCTCTGTGAAGTTGAGAAGCCCATTCATCAAACCTTATTGAGATCAGGTCATGTGAGATTCTCCATATCTTCACAAGGGCAAAGGACAGTGCAACTGAGGAGAAGCAATGCTTTTCTCTCTGCCTTCCCCTGCTATAAGCAGCAAACAAACCAAAGACAAGGTTATTGTAGAGCACTAGGGCATCCATAGTAGCTTCCAATACAATTTAGCGCCTGCGTCTCTCAGGCTTGTCCAATTCCCCTGGAGAAGTGAGGATTAGCGGCTTTGCTACTATCAAAATATACAGTCCACATCTCTTGATAACTCAATGCTGCACGAAAACCACATCAGTTGGGGGTACGAGTAACTGTCCAAACTCCTCTTTGGATCGTTTTCCAAGGGAAATGTTGAAATATTGACATTGATTAGCGGCCCTGACCTTGACGGTAAACAAACACATTCTCAGAAGTTGTTGGCTCTCTGTAGAGAGGGCACAAATCTCATCCAGCCCACGCTTAGTCGTACATATTTCAACAGTTTGGCCTGTTCTGTCTCCAGATCCACACACACACATATTGCTGGGACGAACTGAAAATCACTTTATTGGTGCATTTAAACATTTGTTATAAATTCCAACATGTGTATACATCTCATAAAGTGTTAAATATTTCCACTACTGTTCTAATGAGAATATTAAAGTCGGCGTCTCCATTAAATTTAGCTTCAATGATGAAGCATTCAACTGTCAAATGATAGAATGAAGCTAAACAAACTGGCATTACTATCTTCAGTCACAACAATTATTTTTTTTATTATTATTATTATTTTATTCTTTAATGCTTTTCAATTTTGTGCAATTTTTTTAGATGTCAGATTAACATCCACATATTCATCAAAAAATGTCATGGAACCCATTTCACATAAACAAAAACAAAAGGAGAAAAAAATTAACTCTTTCCCCACAATTAACATTTTTATTTTTTATTTTTTTATTTTTTTATTTTTTTAATCAAAGGCTGGCAACTTTAAAAACAAAATCTGCTGGGTAAAGAGATGAAAATAAATAACACTGAAACTTGCTGCTCATGTCACATGGGAAGACAGTTATGTAGATATATATTAAAGGTACAGCAGCAAAAAGGTCATATTTATAGTGCAGCAGGAGTTATTTTCTGCAATAATCCAAAAGCCGGTGTTAAAAATACTATTGGCTTTTTTGTTAAGGGAACCAATGTGATGCTAACTTCTGGGCTAGCCTACAAAATAACGCCGCACCCTATTTGTAAAAGTCATGCAAAATTATTACTTTTTGTTGAAAGTTTAAACACTCTTTAAGACTTTTGACATGCTCTTGCGATGTGATACTGAGGTAACGCTTTAGATTAAAGCCCGAAAGTACTGTGTAATTAAGAAGAGTTTACAGTGTAACTTTCTGCAATTATAATATTCCTATAAAGTACTTACATGTAAGTATAAGGGGACACAATATGTAAAGTTTTGGGAATAAAGGGGTACCAACCAGGAGAATAATTAACAAAATATTTATACTCTAAGTAATTATAGAACTAAGGGGTACTTCACTATTATTCACTATTAATTATACTATTATGAGACAACAATCTTACATTTGGGAGCAATTTAGAGAGAAAACAACTGCATACTTTTTTGTAATAATTGTGTACTAGTACTTACTGTATATGACAGCGTACGTTTATTTTTGATAGCAAAAGTGCAGATGTTTATGTTTGGGCAAACATGTTTCAATGCAAGAAAAGCTAAGACTATTGTAATTTTTTTTTAAATATACTGGGAAATATTTATGGTTTAGTGTGGTTACAGGGAAAGTGGTGGTTGTCCTAAGATTGTGTGTAACTATTTTTATTGTACTTACCCAGTAACTACATGGTACAAGAGGGTAACAAACACCACTTTAATTTACAGCCCGCAATGTCACACCAAGAATGGGGTAACAACAAGCACCATTACATGAAACAAAAGCATCTTTCCCCAATATTTAATCAAAAGTTGCAATAGTTTTTGTTTTCAGTGCACTTTTGTTAAAAAGATTACTTTTTTTACTAAATGCATATATATATATGTACCCTTTAATTAAAAAAAAAAAATGTCTAAACATATACTGGTTCACCATTATTTCAAAAAGGTATGTTCTTGCTAAATTGCTCCCAAAAGTAAGAATGTAATAAGTACCCCTTAGTTCTATACTTAAAATAATACTTACAATATAAATATATTTTGTTACTCCTTTATTCCCCAAACTTAAAATATTGGTCCCTTATACTTATATTGTAAGTACGCAATAGGTACGCTATAATTACCGAAGGTTACGCTGTAAAATCGCTTTAATTACGCAATAGTTTCCAGGCTGTAATCTAAAGCGTTACCGATACGTCGATACTGACAATCCACATAGTTTGTAACTCTTCAACTGTAAATCCTGTATGCGATCTAAACCCACTTTATTTAGAGGACAAGTTTCAGCGCTTATCGACTTACAAACAGTGAGAAGGAGATGAACTGAGTTTGCGTCTGAGTTTGGACGCACAGTATTGCACTTTGTTCAACAATCCTTATATGTATATTACTTTAGCATTGCTAGTTTTTACTTAATCGACAGAAGAAGTCCAGGTGAGGATATATAAGGCAGCAGTAGGCGATCACCCAGAGGAACAGAAGCACATGTAGCTCTTCCAACTCATAACTAGTTTGGTCACGACCCCCGTTCCTAAAACACAGAAACGGGAGGTTATTGGTTATTTTCAAAGCTAACAGGCTCATTGGAAAAACGTACCTGTGGTAACATTTCTGCAGAATGATATAACGCTTACTGAGTGCCATTAAAAACATGTTCAGTTTTTTTTTTTTTATGTAAATCTGCAGTGAATGGTTTGTATAGGTACGTTTTTGCAAAAATGTATAGGTAGAGGCACGCATTTCCAATGAGCGGGTGATCAAATGTATGTAAAAATATATACAGTATATAAAATGATAATCCTAACCTCAAATGTGCAACTGCAGTTTCTTCGGTTATTCTTTTATCTAAAAACCTGTTTCGCTCATATTGGTCATTTTCTGATAGACTCTCGTTTAATTCGCAAAGGAAAAGGCCCTCTGTAGTTTTCTCCTTATTAAGATCATTGTCCTCTTGCACATGATCAACACCATCACTGCAAGTCAGAGTAAATCCGCCCAAGTAAATACTCTCCTTCATTTTGAATGAACAGTCCAAGTCCAAACGTTCATCAGCAGATGATCTGGCAGTCTTGTCAGTGTTGTCTATACCAGTTTGATTCATCGACAAAGAGTCACGGTCCCTTTGGGACACATTGATGTCCTTGACCTGTCTCAGTTTGCTTTCATCTGTACCTTTGCTATCACATGACATCAGTACATCCGTGGGTTTTAATTTACTCTGTGCATCACAAAAATGACTTTCACTTCCTTGAGATTCAAGTGTACTGCCAACATTTATATCAAACTCTGTTTCCTTAGCATCCATTTCTGTAATTAATTCAAAGTCGACATTTGACCCTATCCCAGCTCCTTTATTGTCCAGCTCTAAGATGTAGCTATATGCGTCCTCCTCGTCTGAGTCCAGCATAACCTCAGAACTGTTCCCATCATCCTCCAGGTTTACCATCAAGCCTTTTTTCCATGCTATGGAGTCACAACACTGCCCTCCAGTGGAGTCTGAGGATTGCCCAGTTGACCAGCTGGAACTCTTCATGGTGAGGAAATGTTGAGGTATAGCATCTAACCCCACAGGGTTGCCTGAAGGACACATAGGAAGCGACTCTGAGCCGAGCTCTTGATCTTGTCCTTCTTGGCAGGTCTCTGAAGGGTTATGAAGGCATCTCAAAGATTCAGCGGAGACATTAGATTGTGACACACAGCTAACCGAATCAATCCAAGGTCTGTCCCATCTTTCAATGGAGTTTGGCGTGCCTCTAGAGGAATCTGTTGACGCACTGTCCTGCGAATCAGTGAATGCGATGCGATTAGCAATATATCGTTCTCTAATTGAACTGTTTAGTTTATTTTAGTTGAATTGAGGAATAAACGTCACAATATTCAAATACAATGATCTATGGTGGTACATTAGCTTAATTGTGTATGTATTTTCCACCTTATAGTACAAAAAGTGTATAAAAATGCATAATTGGAAGTGGAACATACCGAAAGCTTTATATCTCACAAGTGTACATTTTTCTCATTATTAGAAATATAGTCTCTTTGTATTGTCACATTGCATATGAATGCAACTTTATATATCTTTTAAACTTATACCTTGGCTTATACTCTAAAGTGAGCTTCCATACTTACAAAAAAATAGAAAATAAATAATTTGATTGTAATTTTAAGCCTTGACTCAAGATCTGTTGACACTAGCCTTTGATGATGCAAAATTTAACTACAAAAAAAATTATTGAAATCAAAATCATTCCGGGCTTAAACCCCACCAAAAATAAACAAAATACCACAACCTGGCCTCTGAAATACCAGTAGGATCCATTAATTGTAAATATTTAAACATTTTGGAGTTGAATGCATGCATATAATGTATATACATTGTACACATCTTTGGAAAAAGTTTGGCTCTTCCTCTTCAGCATCATTCTATCCCGTTACCACCTTCAATTTTGATACTCGTGGCAGCTCATTTATCAATTTTTGGCAAATTTTCGAGGGCAAAATGAATGTACACAAGAATGTGCATAGTTGATAAAGAAATTATGCAAGAATGTTACCATTCCAGATAAACAAGTCTTAGTTCGATTTGCCTGTGACTTTAAATGACCGGCCTTATTACGCAATCATTCATATGAACGATAAACATCCTCACCTCACCAATGCTTGGGCAAAATTCAAGAAACTGGGCAACATAGGTGATGACGGACTGCTCATCTGGTGAATACACTGCAATATCTAGTGCCAAAAAAAAAAAAGGTCAGGACAAATAACCAAACACACCTGCTAGCAGTCTGGTTGCTTGAACATGAATCCCACTCAAAAATAAATTCTGCTTATTTGCTATCCAGTCACAAAAGAAACAACACTTTGCTATCCTATATTTACAAGCGATATTTACTGTAGTAGCTCTGCAAAAAAAATCTAAAACTGTTTTTACAACATATTTATTTCTGAAGAGCGAAAGCAGGTCTTGCAGAAATTGAGCATGTTCCCCTAGAAGGCACAAACAATACACAGCTATTCTTCAAGTAAAGGAAAGCGGATAGTGTGCGTGGACCAGGCAAACCCTACGTTATGGAGACAAAATGGCAATTATGTCCCCATAAAGATGCGAATATCTTAAATCCTTGTCCTTGTGGGGATATTTTTTGGTCCCAATTAGGAAAATAGATAATAAAAGTAATGTTTTTTTGTTTTTTTTTTAATGTGGAAAGTTTTATGTGATGAGTATGTTTAGGGGGAGTGTTAGTGTAAGGGGAGAGAATACAGTTTGTAAAGGATAATAATCATTATGTCAGTGGAATGTCCCCAAAAAAACATGAAAAGCCAACATGAATACGTGTGTGTGTGTTACCATCTGGATCCAGCAGTGGAGGAATCCCCAGCCACTTATATGCTGCTGTGAAGGCTGTCTCCATGTTTAGACGGGGCTCAGAGGACAAAGCTTTCCTCATGTCCACAAATTCAGGACAGAAGAATTTAACCAGTGCCAAAAAAGCCATTCCGCTCCTCCAGCTGTTACCAAAATCATGAATTTCTACCCCATATCTGAAGGAAAAGATTGAAACAGCATTTTCTAAGATTGAATCAATTATGGAAGTCCATCCAATTAATAATAAAATCAATGTAGTTCCAAAGCTGTCTTTCTTCTGAGTAAGTTAATGTTCTTTTTTCATCCAATTAAACTTGATGTGGACGAAATAGATGCAAAAGCACCATGACAGCGGTCAATACTCCAAAGTCATCTTGTAGTATAGAGAGAGACACAGACTAAAATTCAATTTATATTTACTGAACATAAGATCCACACACCCTACTTGGTGTGTTCATAAGAGTTCAAGAAAAAAGTAGCGATGCTTCATTTGGAGCAATTTGTTCTTTTGAGTAATTTTACTGCGTCACAAAACCACTCTGAATGAGTTGTTTACGAAGTTCAACATGGTCCTCAGTGACAGCTCACTGGAGAAGGAGGTAACGGATATAGCGATCAAAACAATGTTTTTGTAGTGTTTTGCATCTTGGTGAAGATTGAAAACGTCAGTTTCCATTTCAACTTCGAGGAAAATGTTTGGAACTACATGAAGGCGAGTATGATGAATGATGGCAAATATACAATATATCAAGAAACACATTTGTCTTTATTGTGGCTGAGTAAATTAAGTGACTTACTTTGCTGTGCAGTTTTGCACCCAGCTAAGCAGAGTCTTTATGGCTGTACCGCGGTACTTGAGATTTTGCAAAGACCTTTTGCCTTTTGAGGGTAGAGTGCCGAATATGTCATCTCCAGGTGATGCTGGAGAACTACGGCCTGAAGAATCACTGCCACAAGGTAATGACAGCAGACTGAAGGTGGAAGGGGATTTCTCTAGGTGTACTGTAACCTGTTTAATCTTTGAATGGTCAAATAATTCAGCCACAGTTAGTCAGTCGATCAAACACTCACTCACAAGAACAATGACACTCTTTCATTACCGTTACACAATGTTAGTGTGATTTACCTGATAGTATACAATGATGTTCCAGATTAGCCTGAGAACAACTGAAGGATTGCCATCAGCAATATCATTAGCGTCAATATTTATAAGACTCACCTGTGGAAATAATATAAATTATAACATTGGAAGGAAAAATATATATTGATGGCTGTGTTTTATTAATTAGTTCCCTCATTAAATCATTGTCACATACTAATTTCCCTTGTTGGCAACACTTAAGAATACGGTTCCTTCGTTAATGAATAACTACACAAGAACCAATGAGTAACACAATATTAATAATCTAGTAAGTATTAACAAGAAACTCTGATTAACAAACTAGTAAGTAATAGCGCACAGATTAAAGTAGTTCAACCGTATCAATAACTACTATTTTTTAATGCTTCCCAGAGAACTACAAGTTTAACAGTTTAGTATTATTAACTAAAAATAAACACTGATTAATGAATTAGTAAGTAATAGCGCACAAATGAAAGTGTTATTTCACTATTAACTAATCAATAACTCTTTTTTTATGCTTCCCAGAGAACTACTGAGGAAATTGAATAATTCATGCAAAACTAATCAATAACCAATGCAGGACAAATGACTAGCACTACATTAACATTTTAACTGCTACTGTAAATGAATAAGGGTTGTTTACATTCTCAATATTTAATAGCATAGCAGACTTATGATTTGGGAAAGCTGTTAAAATTGGCATATGCCGTCTATTTATAAACTGAATAATTTTAAAGAAATGAACTTTTTAATGCAGTTGTCGGGACCTTACTTGTCCTGTACTTCCCGGCATTCCTCTGGACTGACATTGAATTATTAGAGTCATGGTGAGTACCGACACATATTGAGTCATCAGCCACCCAAATACCTTATACAGTGATTTTATGATTTAACCTACCTCCCCCAAAAATATGTTTTTTATGTATACATCTCCAAGCTCACATATGTATATGTGTGTGTTTGCATATCCTGTGAGTTATTAGAAGATTCCACACTTTATTGGCTTTTCATTATAACTACTGTAAGAATCATGATAACAAACCCAAGTGTTACTACATACTTCTATGGGAATAGAGTGAGGAAGTTATGTCACTTTGTAGGCCAAAACGCTGAAGTGAGTTAGCATTTTAGCAGTCCCGGTTCCCTCGCTCTAAAGTCTATGGGATTTTTGAATGGGTTTTTGCTAAATCGCCTGAAATAAGGTCTGTGTAACACAGTCTCATCCCAAAAAGTCATATAACTGACGTTTTGGGACGTATTTTGACCATACGTCAATGTCCGCCTTTTTAGGGCCCCCTTAAACGTCGGTAGATGGCGATCCCGGGCCGTCATACAACTGACACTTTACCTTTAACGTCAGTTAGGTGACGAGTTAGGTTTAGGGTTAGGTTTAGGTATGGGGTAGAGTTAGGATCCCATAACCTCATCTACCGACGTTTAAGGGGGCCCTAAAAAGGCGAATATTGACGTATGGTCAAAAGACGTCCCAAAACGTCAGTTATATGACGTCTTCGGATGAGACCGGGTTGGTCTGTGCTGAACAAAGCCTCTAAATATTTTCACGTTTTTTATCTATGACATAAAACACACCAGTTATAACCTGTTTGTGCTTTTTTAAACGTTATATAGGCTTAAAATGTATACATTTTGGATTAACTTGTAAAGATTATCTTGATAGACAAAACGTGTAAGGGTCACGACTCTTTGTTGAACACAAATCTTATTTTTTTGCGATTTTCCAAACGTCTATGGGGAAAAAGCATAGCTTTTGGATCGAGGGAACCCATGCGCTGCTAGCTTCTGAAATGTTCTACAAAGTGATGTCATCACTTCGGCACTCTATTACTTATTATTTGAATCCGTATTCTAAAGTGAAGATCATGGGAACCAACTAGTAATGACTCAAGTGTCATCACATACTTCTAAAAAGTTCCCCAAAAATCTTTTGTGTTTGGTTGCACAAATCATGATGTAGTTATTGATTAATTAATAGTTAAATACTTTATTATGTGCACTATTACTTACTAGTTCGTTAATCAGAGTTTCTTGTTAGTTAATAATAGTAGATTGTTAATATTGTGTTACTCATTGGTTCACTGGTAGTTATTCATTAACAAAGGAACCGTATTCTAAAGTGTTACCCCCTTGTTTTATTTTGTACAAAATGGCCACAATATATATATATATATATATATATATATATATACTGTATATATATAGTCAGAATTTACTCACCTTCAAGCTGTATGAGTTTCTTTATTTCTATTTTTTTTCCTACTATGAAATTAAATGGCAACCCTCAACTTGAAGGTGAGTAAATTATGACAAAATTTTCATTTTTGAGTGAACTAACCATTTACTTTAACCATATTTCCCACCCACCATGTATGTGATGTACAGGGATTTACACTAAGACATGGGGAAAAATAAATAAATTAGGACTTACATTTCTGTCCTCGAGGAAATTCAAGACCTTCACAATATTGTTCAGTCTGAAGATGTGATGCTGGAATGGCCTGAATCGATCAAGCTAAAGCACATGAAAAATGCTTCGTATGTGTTTAGGAAAGCCGCATTTATGTACGACAGATTTATATAGATCAAACTTTGTATATTTTAGTAAAATATGTGATGATGACAAACCATATTACAGCCTGACAGTTCCTCTAGAAGGGCCATGAGAACCTTTCCATCTTGAACATCAGTGAATAAGTTATTGACCTGTAAAGGTGGGTCACACTACAACACAAAAGGGAACTTAAATGAAGTAGACATGCAGTTAATGACTACTTTTAAATGTATATGCTAATTTCTCATTATTAATAAACTGGCATTTAGTAATAAGACAATTCTCACTCTCTTCAAATGCATGTTTATCCACTTGGTGAAGGTTCTCTGTTGGACTGCCTGCTTCTCTGTCAACAAAGCAATCAAACTCAGGCTTTTTCTCAGAGCACGTGAACAACTTTTCGAGTCAACATTTGTGCATGCAGTCATTTCAGAACATTGTAACAGGTTTAGAGCGGGTGAGAACAGGTACAAGCAGGTTCGCTTTCATTTAAGAGACATGCACTGAGTGAAATGAAACGAGGAAGTTTGCCTTAAAAAAAGTTCCATTTTATTTTCAGACTGCTGTTTTTTGTCCATTTCAGTCAAATTGAGTTTATAATTTAATATAAAATAAGAACAAATACAAAAAAAGAACAGAACAGGAAAATATAATATATATTATGATACAATGGAGCAAACTTGCCATTAAAAACATTGCGTAATCATACAAATATCAATCATTCTAAGAACTTTACCTTTAAATGATATATGTACACCGTTATGGGTTATATTACCTTGGGCTCTTTTCGCGCACTTCTTGTCTTTTACACGTCCATCTCTCTTACTCGATGTTAAGGACATCCTGAACAGGACCACAAAAACTTCTCAAAGTCAGGAATATGCTCCAAGCATAGCTGCAGTGACGCTACAGGAGAGCATTTGAGGAAATCCAGTCGTCGGGTTTGAGAAGAGCGTCAAATCCTGCCAGCACACGCCCGTCTCCTCCATACACCTGTGGCAGCTCCTGCAAATCCTTTACCGCCTCAAGCCAATATAATACTCATTCATAGTCATGTTATGTGTTGAGATTTCACCTTCACTTTTAACAAATAAAACATGTGGATACTTGAATGGATGGTTTGTTCATAGTATAACTATCATTTGGGGGTTCAAGTTTCTTTTCTTTTTTGTAAAAGAAATTCTTAATACTTGATGATAATCCTCATCATCAAAGGATATTTGACAAAAAAAAAAAACGGAAAAGTTAAGCATTTTGGCTCTTTGTTTACACGTTTTGGGGACCTGTAAATGCAAACTTTTGAAAACGGGTTTTGAAAACTATACCGTTCTCGTCCATAGACAGTATGAGAAGTGAACAGAGCGATCTCATTGGAACTCCATTGAGACGATTGAAGCCCGTTTTTGGCGATTTTTTAGCACTTCTGTCCCTGACGCGCAGACTCAAACAAAACTTGACGACGTAGATGTGACGAGAGCAACCCGTCTGTCTTCTATAGTACTACTTCTATTCTACTAGTGGCTGTGGCATGAGAAATCTGAATCATTCCCTTCCAAATCTCACAGAGGCAGAGAGTGTGAGTAGGAGCAGGAGAAACTTTTGCTAGGTATTCTGATGAATTATTTTGTCATTTTACCTCCATGTTTCCCCGATTGCGCGCGAGCTTCTTCTCCTGTCCATACGGTAATCTCTCCACTGTGCGACAGAGAGTCGCATGGGTATGACACAATCGTTAGCCTACTTTTACAAAAAACTGCTTCTACGGGGCCATAACATAAGCTACAAGGTAATGGAGCATTTTGTACATTGTCGTGTTTCTTTAGAAATAAATAAAGGACAAATTGGGTCTTCAAACGCCTCAGATGTAAAGTTATTCGCTGTCAAAGTGACGCCAAAATGAATGGGAGTCAATGGAAATGCTGATGCAAGTGAAGTTCTGCGACAAGATGGCAGCTCCCGCAAAGGCTTCAACTTCCGGTTGATGTATTACCCCCTTGTTCTCGTCCCCATGTAAACTACAAAAATTTGTGAAAACAGTGACGTCATGCGCATGCATGTTCAGTCGCCAACTACTGGCCTGGCATGAATAATACAGCGTCAAATTTTTTTTTTTTTTTTCGCGGATCCATGTGAGCAGGATCGCTTTGATAAATGTTGTCATCTGGCAAAAAAAAAAAAAAAAAAAAACATCATGCAATTAAATATGCCTGGATGTACCAAAACATGACGCGCACTACGGAAGAGGATTAGGGTCAACCAATAATAATAAAAAAAAAATAAAACCATTTTGAGATTAAAGTCATTATAATACGAGATTAAACTTGTTAAATTTCGAGAAAAAAGTCGAAATGCAATCTTGAGAATAAACGTATTTAGAAACGAGATTAAAGTCATTATAATGCGAGATTAAACTCGTTAAATTTCGAGAAAAAAGTCGAAATACAATCTTGAGAATAAACTCATTAAATATCGAGAGTCATTATAATGCGAGATTAAACTCGTTAAATTTTGAGAATAAAGTAGTGTTTTGAGAAAAAATTCGAAATGAAAACAGTGTTCACATATAGCCATAGAGGACATGGCAGAGTTGAATCGCTTGATCAAGCTATATTTTAGACTTTCTTTCAATAACAAAGAAATACTATTGACTTTAGCTAACTATGACAGAATAATAATTAGCATACAAACTGGTGCCCTCTGGCATTTAAAGGTTCTCAAAGCGATCCTGGGTGTAACGTTCGAATATTTTCAAACAAATCGGAGCAAGACCCTCCCTCCTCCGCATCTCATCTCCTCCCCCTCCCTTCCGTGCTTCCTGAAATAATTGTGAACGTGCATAGTTCTAGCTAATTATATCCTTGTGTGGGTTTGGCGAACATAAGCGTCAATTTAGAAGAAAAAAAACTATTTAACGTTACCCACCTGTCCAGCAAAAACAGAGCAACCTGAATGTCGGACTGGAAGCCCTTCTGCCGCCGGAGTTCTCGCAATCGTTCAAAAGCTTTGCTACCGATGTAAATTCGGAACTTCGCACATTCTTTATCCGACTCCTTCTTCTTTTCAATTTGTTCCTCAGAACGACGTCTCTTTGGTCGTGTGTCGGTAATTTTTCAAACTTCCCTCTGATGCTTCGCTGCTCTCCTTCACACACCCTTCATGTGCACGCGCATTAACCCCCCAGACCCACCCTCAAATACTTCTTGCCAGTGATTGGCTGGAACACTGTTTGTTAGGTTTCGTGGTCCGGGTGAGACATGATTGTTTTTGTTGCCGTTTGTGGAGCCTGTGGTGTCTACAGAGACCGCGTTTTTTTACAGTGTGTTTAGGGGACAGGCAGCTAGCCGATAGTGAGGAGACGTTTGATGTATGTGACAAAAAATGTTTTGGCCCAGCATCGCTTATAGAACCTTTAAAATCAAATCATACAACATATTCAATACCAGATGGGGGCAGTATACCTCCAGAAATACCTCCACGGCCACGCGCACTCTCATGTCTTCAAACAACACGGGCGAGCGCTGTGTCGCTCTGTCTCCCTCGTGCATATTAATCAAATCATTTGACACGATAGTAAAGGTTGGAAGACAGCAGTTTCACGTGGAGCATTTGAAGATTTTTACAGATTAGAGACTAAATGAACAACATCTCAATACTAAATTATAAAGGCCGTCTCATAGACAAGCCGGTGCATTTCGACGATATGGGAAAATTAAAGCCCAGGCTATTATTATTAGTTTTATGATATTCGTTTTGTTCATATTATATTTTTATCATTAGTTTTAATTAATTTGACAGACAGCATTCTCTGATGTGGACCAAGCTAGCGTCTTTCAGAGCTGCCAACTCTCACAACACTTTTCACGCACTCTCACGACACATCAATTTTGTCATGCACAGAAAAAGACACGGAGACCGATGTCAGCTCTCAGATTCTGTTAATTTTATTACACAATTCAAACAATAAATGCAGTTTTGGCACTTTACACGAATCATTTCTATCGACCAATCATTTTTTTAACTCTTCCCTGAACTGAAATGTAGTAGTGGGCTGTATTTTCCACACGACTGACATCAGGTTCAAGTACACACAAGCCGCCGACTTACTCGTGTATTGCAGTTTGGCTGTTGGTAATGTTGCCTGCCCGCATACCGCCTCCCATGGCCGAAACTGGTATTACGACACCTGCCGAGCCGGGGCTAGTAATTTAGCATGCTAATTCAGGTTAATATCTCGGCAGCACTATAACTTGTCATTTTTTTATGACATCATCAACCTTATTTCTTCTCATTCTTTTGATGCGTGTAGCTCATTTTTGGGATATTTTAACCTCAATTTTTACAGATGGCACCTTTAAAGATAATTTGCAAGTGGCAAATTCTTTTAGAAGGAAAAATCAGTCTAATTTTTAAAAGGAAAAATCAGTCTAATTTGCGCGATGCTTTTATCCAACATGAAATGCATTATAATAACTTTAATCTCGATATTTGATGAGTTTATTCTCAAGATTGTATTTCGACTTTTTTCTCGAAATTTAGAGAAAAATTTTGGCAGAACCTTTTCAAACAGCAGTGTCGTCAGCATTATATTGTTATGCTATAAGTAAACACTTAAAGGGTAACTAAACCCCTGGTCAGAGCCTGACTCCACCCACTAGCAATATTTGAAAAATGCTGAAAAAATGGGCAGACCCCAGCGGGGCTAGGGGGCGTGCACCTGAGACCCGCCGTGAGTGACAGCTGCTGTCAGACTCTAAAATAGAGCGAGACTAGTCTGGAGTGACTCAATAGCTGCCTTTGCAACAGAGCGGCCATTTGAAGTCGAGGACTTTTCTCCCTCACCTTCACCTTCACCTGAAGTGGATGAGGGTGAATTGTATACAGGGCCAAATCCATTCGAGCTGCTGGCTCAAACTGCGGTCTTAACTCCCGCATCGCGACCGGCATCTGATGAGTTATGTCGTCGAGTTGATCTCAATAGCGCACGCTATTGATATTATGCCGCTATATGAAAAAATCCAGCAAAATGCAGCGGCTCGTTTGTCGACCCTAGAGGATTAACTTTATCCTAACCATAAATTGTGATTAAAATATCCATGATCACTCACATCAAGACGCCGCTGCGGTGGAGGAGTCCATGCAGGACGAGCAGTGTTTGGCACTGCGTGTGGAGAAGCCCATTTCCACCTCTATTCCGTTACTATCCTGATCACTGTACTAAACACTGATAAATCTATGCTAACTTGAAGCTATCCTAACTGTACTATGCTACTAGCTACACAAAATAATCTAAATTATCTATATAATGCTATGCTAAATAGATGCAACAATACTCTATCCTGGTCGTTTTCAAAAATAATCTAAATAACTATATAAATGCTATGCTAACTAGATGCTATTATATGCTATAGTATCCTGATCGTTTTCAATATTCATAAATCCAACTCCTGACTCGCTACAGTAGTTTTGACGGAACCAGATGCTTTTATACCAGGGGCTGCCAAGGGCGTGGTGAGCTCGCACCAAGGGTGTGACAGAGTGCGTCTGAGAGTTCGCTACGTCAGCAAGTACCCCTACTGCAGGAGCTTTCCGTTTAACCTGAAGAGGGCAGCACTCAGACGTTTTTACACCATATATTTGAAAATCAAAACACTTTATACTCAATTGTCAAAAAATGTACTCGAATCAATGAACAGCATTTATGAAGCTCCATTCTTACAGATCATTAACTAAAAAAAGTTGTTTTGGTGTTTAGTTACCCTTTAAACACCTAATAGTAAACACTTGTTTGACTTATGGTAGTAAAAAAAAACGTGCAAATCTGGGATTTGTTTTAGTGAGCATGTATTTTATTGAAAAGTCAATAAAACAAACCTTTACACTTTACTGAGATTATGATGAGCAATGATGGAATCCGGGCGAACCTACGGATATATAAAACAAGTCTGAATTAGACAATGTAAGGGTTTTCCTACATTCACAACATAACGTTTCACTGTGGCAATTCTAAGTGTCTGAAAGGCGCGCAGATCTCCTGTCAGACAATATCTGACTGCCAACGCTGTATTACTCTGCCTGTTTTGAAACTGGTAACGGTATAAAACAAACCATTACCGCTGTGGAAACAGGACGAGATTTGTTGAAAGAATATCGCACGTAAAACTTCAAAGTCTAGAGAAGTCACGCCTTTTGTTCCTTCATTTTAGTCTATGCAGCCTCGTCGAGTCTCCAGCCAAACTGCAAGCGGAGACAGGATCGCGAGACTGCACTTACTTATGTGGACAAATGTAGCAGACATCGTACTTACAAACACTAAGAAAATTCACGAAGTTTGCAACAACCGCAGACTTCATCAACCCGAACACGAACTAAAAGATGCACTGAAATACAGACCCGTGACTGAATCATTCGGCTCATTGTTTGCGCTTGATCGGTTGAATCGTTTAAAAAACAAACGAACGAACGAACGATTCTTTATCCGTTCGAGCAATGTCGAGTGATCACGAGTGATCACTGTTTTTACTTGTTATAAAACTATGACAAAATTATAACTAGATTATAGTGTTTTTAAATGGCTGTGTGTGTTTCAATCACTGCAAATTAACTGAAATTCCGGCAATATAGACGAATCACTGAATCATTTTTAAAAGAATCCTTAAGAGAGTTTCAAAGAACCGATTCAAAGAAATGAGTTGGAGCATGTACGTACCGGAAGAAAAAAGGTCACTGTTATTCTAACCGGATGTAAATGCCTCCACTAATTACTACTTATAAAAAAATTACAAAAGAAAGAAAAATTAGGCGTTTTTAAATTGCAGTGAATGTGCGTGTAATATTAGATACACATTTTGCTTCGCTAAAATATAAGCTGTCAAGAGATAAAAAGCAAATTGTGTAATCTTCATGACTGACGTAGGATTCAACCAATCATAGAGGACAGGAAAATGACGAGAACCAATAGCTTTCCTTTGTTGAGTGTTTATTCTCTATGAGGCGGAGCTTACGGTCAGGGAGTTTCTTCGGTGAAGTTCTGTCACTGTGGCTTCAGTTAAAGGACGTAACACACATACACAATACCACTTAATATCTTCACCAAAACCCTTCAGATTTGTACAATGAACAACATTCTCAGATCGACAGCTCGGTGTCTTCGACCGGGCGCGTGGCATTACAGAACAGCGCAGAATAATGGAGAGAACCTGTCTGGTTGGGCCCGCCTCATGTGCTCCTCGGCGGGCAAGCATAATATGGAGGAGATTGTGAAGAAGGACAAGGTGGTGGTCTTCATGAAAGGCACTCCTGGTCAGCCCATGTGCGGTTTCAGCAACGCCGTCGTTCAGATCCTCAGAATGCACGGGGTCGACAGTTACGCTTCTTTTAACGTGCTGGATGATCAGGATATCAGAGAAGGTCAGTGCTTGGTCATTGTTGTTTGAAGAGTTTTGGGAGTTTAAAACGTTACAATTTGATAACCTTAAGCTTGGACGGTTGTATCTGATGTGTGGGTCTTCTTAAACGTCTGACATACTAAAAAAGTTACTGACCTTTTTGGAAAATTTCTATTTTAAGCTGTCAATTTTTAATCATAAAATTAAGAAAAGTTATCATAATTGTGACTTAGTATCTCATAATTGTGAGAGACTTTCTAAGTGCGTGTATGAAGTAGGGAATTTTTGGGGAAACCTTCCTATCTCAAAAGAATGACACGCTATTATGAGGAAGCTTATCAGTATTACTACATCAAACTTTAACATGAGTTTTATTAGAATTATTATTATTATTACAAACTTCAATTATTCAAAGACTAGTCTTTATTAAAAGTCAGTTTCTCATTATGAGCTGTGAAGTAATTATTACGAAATATTCACGAGAATCTTGTCAGAGAAGGTGAGACATGAGAAAGTTTCTCATTTTATTAGAAACCAAGGCATTACTACGTAAAAGTTTATAAAGATTATTAAGGTTTCTCATTATTATGACATATTGAGTCATTATGGGAAAGTATCTCATCATTATGTTGATCTTTTTATGAGAAAGAATAATTTCCTTGTGATAGTGACTTGACAACTCACGGTAATAAGAAACTAATTATAAAATAGTTTTTCATAATTATGAGAAAACATCTCATAATAATGACTTAGCATCTCATTGTAATTGCTTGACATCACATAATAATTAGAAAAGAAGTCATTATTACAAGATATTAATGAGACACAAAGTCATTATTATGAGAAAGGCATTACTAAAATAAATGAATTACTACATAAAATCATTAATACTAAAAATGTTCTCATCGTGAGATATTAAGTCATGAGAATACATTTTATGTTGATCCATTATTATGGGATATTAATGAGAAACTTGATTATAAAAACTCGTTTTTATGAAAGTTTTACATTATTATGTGATGTCTCCTTGTAATAAAAAAAGCATATCATAATAGTAATCAGAAATGTCTCATTATTACAAGATGTTAGGCCTAAGTTATTGTTATAAGAAAGTTTCTTCTTCTTTTTTTTGAGTAACCAAGACATTATTACATGAAAGTTTCTCATTATTATGTTGATCTATCATTACGAGATATTAATGATAAATTGTATTTTGAAAAAAATAAATAAATAAAGTTTCTCATTATTATGTGATGTTTCCTTGTAATAACGACATCTCACAGTAATAAATAGTAACTGATGAATACGTTTCTCATTAATACGAGAAAACATCTCATAATAGAAAGTTTGAATTTTTTTGGCAGAAATGAGCTTCCATACAATGCACTTTAGTTTGGGTCTGAAACTTTGATCAATCCAGCACGAGTAGGTTAACGGCACCAGCAGTCACCCGGTCAGCTCTGATTGCCTTTATCAGTTTTGCGCAGCAGGAAGAAAGGGGTGTTAACCCTTAGACCCCTGAGGTTAGTTTCCAAACAGCAAAGCCTAGCCTGAAATACTTAAGTGGAATTAAAAAGGGAATATCAGGTTATGCAAGATGATTTCCAGAGTTGTGCATGTAAGAGTTAAGGACTAAACTGTTTACTGACATGCGACTTTGTTCCACCTGAAAGGAATAAAGAAGTTCTCCAACTGGCCGACGATACCACAGGTGTACTTCAACGGGGAGTTCGTCGGGGGCTGCGACATCCTCCTTCAGATGCATCAGAGCGGCGACCTGGTAGAAGAACTCCAGAAGATGGGAATCAGATCCGCTCTCCTGGATCAAGAAAAACAGTCCTAGTCAGCGAAGCTGCATCCGTAGGGTCCATCGATGGAAACTTCTCGAAGGTTGACTTGTGAAGGGTGATTTGACCTGCTGAAGTCCAAACTAAAGGATAGGATGTCAAGACTCCGAAATCCTGAGAAATCACTGTAAAACACTTGACATAGAATTACCGTATTACACAGATAATGATTACGTATCTATTGCAAATGCTTGCCTTTATTTCAGATACTCTAATGTTAGACCAGTGCATATTTAAAATGTTGTATTTTGAAATATATTATTACATGTATTTTAGATGTATATCAGTTGTTTTTGTCAATAAAATAATTTAATTCGCCCATTGTTTTGATTTATGAATTATGATTATGAATTCTGCATTCTTTAAAGCCTTAGTATGAGTCTTGTCTAAAAACATGCTTGGAAGTTGTCCTGTTGTAGATTATTTGCCCCGTTTACTCCTAAGATGTTGACATTTTTTGGGTCAAAGGTATCTATTTGGCTTTAATGGTAAGACTTATTGTAAAGATTTTTTTCATTGGTTCAGAACGATAACACTTTAAAGTTTAAAGAGTTTAATTTTGTTGATCGTGTCAATGTTTGTATCTTTGACAAATTTAGAAATTGATAATCATGAAGGACCTTAATCAAAAAATATAGGTCTAGAAGAATAGGTTAAAGATCAGAATTGACGAATAACATTCCAAGTATATTGAAGTTTTGATGATTGTAGCTTCACGTGTGTCCACTAGAGGACGCAATACTCTTATAATTGTTTTCTGACTGATCATAGAACACCAAAGATGATGTCATTAAGGATAGAGGACTGAAAAGAGTGAGGGGGGTGGGGGGTGGACTTAGAAAAAGTTTAGAAATTGCTTTTTTTAAATTAAAATTCCTTGATTTCATGTTGTTTCGAAAAGCACATATTTATGTTTTTAAATGTTTCAAGGAAATTACAAATTATATATATATATACTTGGTCTATATTTGTACCTTCATTATAATGACTGTTCAAATTGATAGTTTAATTTATAAATAAATAATTAAATAGAAAAATCAAATCATTCAGGAGGCATTTTCTAAGTTTATTCTTAAATAAATGAATAGATTGAGATGTGGAGATGTATTAGGCAAGGTAACATGGTAACACCTTTGTTTACTCCTTTTTTTAAAAATGGTAAACCATGCTTGACTTGCCATCCTCTCAAAAGCTTTCATATCCCAGCACTCCTCCCTCTAAGCTGGTTGCTAGGCAACACCACAGCTGTGCCCTATACCCTTAAATAGGGGGCACTATTTGAGGGGACAGCAATTTGTAGTGCTGTCCGAAACAATGCCCTGTAAAAAATTATATGAGCAAAAAGTTATCACAACATATGATTTTACATTGCTTTAACTCATCAAAAATAAGTTGAGCAATTTTCAACTTTTTTATGTTATTCAAAACTCAACTGATTTAAGTCAGTTTAATGTAAAGAAAAAAATAAAAAATTTAAAATTGTAGGCAGCAACTTTTTTAACAGTGTGGTGGACGTTATCAAGTGCTCTCTTTTAAACCCATAATGCACCACAACAACAATGCAACCAACACACTCCACGGCAAGTAAATAACCAAAATGCACTATGAGGGTCACGCCGAATTAATTCCCGCATCTCGATGCGTCCGCCACCGAGTCATCTATCCATTTGATTATTATGGTTTATACAGCTTTCATTACAGAGTTCAAAATAAATCTTTTCATACAGCCAGTTTGGTAAGTTTCAAAGGATTACTAAACAGCAAGAAGAAACTGCAAAAGCGGCAGCCCTTCTGGCGCTCTCAGTGTCTGAATTCACTCCACCGCTTTCATTCACTCCGTCAAGGGGACTGTATTACTGAAGTAATGTAGGGAATAGTCAATGAGGGTATAGGGGGCAATTTTAAACACAGCTCAGGTTTTCTCAAATATGAGGCACAGAAACAAGGATCGTCACAATTCTCCATGTCGATTTGGTTTGCAAACAGAATCAGGTCATTGGTGCCGGTGCCTGAAGAGCGTCTGACACCTCTGTT